TTTAATCGGTTAGTAAAATTTTTAAACCAATCCAATCCACTATTATATGATAACCAAACCAATTCAATTTAAATCGGATCGGTGTGGTTCGGTCGAATTGATCGGTTTTTAACACTATTAAATATATATGTAAATAAATTTAACATTAAGTAAAAAATATAAATATAAAATACCTTAATATCCAAATAAATAGAAACATAATTAAAAAAAGTACAAATTATAAACAAATTCTTATACTCTTTTACAATTATAAAAATTAAAAAGATTTAGAAATTATAAACAAATTCTTAAATTTTTACCTTGATCTCTAAGAATACCCAAAAGAGGGTTGCCACCAGCCTCCCAACCTCTTTTAATTCTGAATTTGGATGGGTATTTAGAAGGTTTTAGAAACCCTAATTGAAATAGAAGTAGGATTTGAAATAGAATAAGAAACTTGAATGTTCGATGCTGAACATATAATGCTGACACTCTGAATTACGTATTGATACAAAACAAGAAATAGAAAGTTTGATTCTGGACTATTAACCCATGGTGTCGACATCCATATTATGTGTACACCCATATTATGTGTTTAAGAATAAACCTAGCAAAATGAAGACGACAACCTAGACAACAACCCAGCAAAATGAAGATGACAATCTTGGCAAGTGCACGCTACTCAAGAAGGTAGGGTTTTACGAATAAAGTTGCAACTCACTTATAAAGGTAGAATTGTAGGGGAATTTGAAATTTAGAATTAAAATTTAGGTATATAATTAAAAAAAATAAATTAGGAAATATAAGATATGCTATTTTTATTTTTAATTAAATCAACAGAGTCATTATCTTGTAAAATAAGAAAAAAAATTGAAATATTATAAAAATATTATATTATTTAATTAAGTTATTTTATAATCGGATTTTTTTTTATAATCGGGCGGTTCGGACAGTTTGAAAATAAAATCACAAACCAAACCAATTATATCAGTTTAAAATTTTTATAATCCAAACCAACCCAATTTTATATCGGTTTGGTTTGGTTTTTAATCGGATTGGATCAGTTTAGATCAGATCAATCGGATTAGATTGAATATGAACACCCCTAATAGCGACATATAGTGTGGAAAAATTGGAAGCATAGCTACCCCAAAGGGGTACCGTATACCAATCAAAGCAATTCTTACAGAGGGAAGATTTTTTTTAAAAAAAATTAAGCTAGAGATTAGCATGTTACCTGGTTTATTTTAATCTCATATTTCCTTCTAGCAATTAAAAATACGTTTTTCACGTGATAATTAGAAAATGCTAGATGGGAATCAATTTCATATTTGCTTCAAAATTTGAAGTGAAAATTAATTTGTAATAGATATTTATTTATTTTTTTTTTTGAGGAAGATATTTATTTATTGTTAAGTAATATATCATGACTGGATAACTTGTGTTAGATAACTTACTTTAGATAAAGGACAAATTAATATAGAAATGTTGACAGTTCAAAAAAATACCACATTACGGCAATACAATGAAAAGAGAAGCGATTTATTCAAACATCAAAAAGAAATTTTGTACTAATTAAAAATTAATGTACTGAATTAAACATTTTTCAAAAGCTTAGAGGGCCGGCTGCCCCACCCTGTCCTATGGTGAGGAAGTCTGCTGTATCACCGGGATACAGCAGACGTGGTATCCAACCCAATGGGAAAACACCACATCAACAATTTTTTCACACTTCATCAATCACAAACCTAAAAGAAAATTGATGTGGTGTTTTCTCATTGGATTGGGATTCCACGTCTGCTGTATCCCGGTGATACAGCAGACAAAATCGTCCTATGGTAGCCCGTCCCTGCCTTGCAGGAAGATCATCATGAGGAGGCAAATTGACCCAAGTCTCTGCTCCAGCCGTTCGAATCTCTGGGCTGTCTCGAACCTCATGTGGAGAACATCGGCAAGCCCGTGCGCCTGCATGGCACCATTAGGAAATCTCGCAACCTTCTCCTCCAATTTCTTCATCTTCCTGGCAAGCTGGAAATTCTTACAAACGTTCCACCAAGCAGAGGAGAGGACTTCATTACATAACTCGAGGCCATCGTGCAGCGTCTCGGAGAAGCGGTCGAGCTGCACCTGCCAAATTGGAGGAAGTTCGACGCCGGAGGAGTTGATCTCTTGGATAATGGATAGGAGTTCATTGATGGTCGAAATGAGGCCTTCTGCGCTGGATTTGCAGAGACACGATTTGCAGATGATTGTTATCAGCATTTTGCAGATGATTGTTATCAGCATTTTGCAGATGATTGTTATCAGCTTTTTGAAGAGTTCTGTTATCAGCTTTTTGAGGAGTTCTGTCACTATTTCTTCGGGAAAAAAATCTTTCATCGCCATGTTCGTATCTGCTGTACTAAAAATTCCAACAGACAAACAACCACGAGAACTAAAAATTAATAAGCATTTAAAATGATTCAAAACTAAAGACTACCATCCCGGTACCACCAGTGTGAGTTTCTAACACAAGAAACAACAGTTAAACCAAATCCTGAATTCAACAACTTCATTTTGTTTGGTTTAACAAGCAGCTTTACTACTAACTGTTGACAACATATCTGACTTCAAATTTACACCAACTGGTTCAAATCGAACCAATTTACACGAAATTACCAATTCAAAACAGCAAATACAGATCATCCTACTAATTAAATAATCCACAAAAAAAAAAAAGGCAACCGGAAAATTGATGATGAAGGAGCAATTTTCCAGGAAAAAGAATAACAGAAGAGATAGGTGATGAATACCTTGTCTGGGACGCCAATGATTGCCTGCTGCTCCTGGGTCCTTTGTCGAAATTTGCTGCGAATTTGCTCTGGGGTAACGCAGAGAGGTGGAGGATCTGCCGAACGGATTTAAAATGCGAGATTTTGGTTCGGAAATGACTCCGAATAAGAGAAGTCCACGTAAGCAGGTGACCGGCACTGGCCAAATCTTCGAATTACAGTAGCACCCCTAATCTTCGAATTACAGTAGCACCCCTGGGCCAAATCTTCGAATTACATTAGCACCCCTAATCTTCGAATTACAGTAGCACCCCTG